CACACACACACACACACACACACACACACACACACACAGGTGTCTGTGTCACAGGGTTACAGGTCCTGTTCCTTTAGATTTTCTTATCCAGCAGATGAACTTTTAGTTGTTTTTAAATCAAATAATAAAAATCAGTTTTTTTTAAAACCTAAATAAAAATGTTTCAGAGCTTAAAGAGTCTGTGACTAAATATTATTCAAATATAAAAAGTCAAAGAAAATATCTTTATATTTAAGAAACTTGACATAATACACATGATTTTACCCATTTTATCCCATTACTGCATATTTTCCTTTGAACTTGGCTCAGCCAAAGTGAAACAGGAAGTGACATCACAGGGGAACTCTTTAACAAAGAACTCTTTGATCTTTGTTTATTGAAACATTATTTGAACTCTGACTCAGTCTCTGATAGATTTAAAATGATCTAAAGAAACATCAGATTCGTCTCTACAGTTCGTCTTGTTAACAGTTGTAACAACGCTCAGTTCACATGCAGACATTCCCTCTGACATCACTTCCTGTTTCTTCTCATGCAAATATCTCAACAACTGTTTGTCTCAACGACATAAAAATAGTTTTGCAGTATGTTATCAGTGTCCTCTTTCCAAAAATGAATTAATATTTATTTTAAAAAATTGATGTCACAGGCCCTTTAAAGAGGTGAGGAGCGGATCAGGAGTTCTGGACTTTTATTTTTCTGCGTGGACACGGAGCGGACAGACGGTACCTTGATCTCGACGCAGAGGGGGGGACAGTGCGTCTGTGGGTGCAGAGACGGAGACGTCAGGTTGGGCAGGCACAGAGCGCAGCCGCTGTAGATGTCCATGACTTTATCACAGCGCCACGCTGAAACACACAAAGCAGGTTCTCAGCACTGCTAACAGCCGAGAGCTAACGTTAGCCGCTAACGCTAACTGGTTTACTGGCTTCATGTCCATGAAACAGACCAGGAGGACCATCTGTCTCACCTGGTCTCTGATGTTGAATCTTGATGGACAGCTGTCGAACAAACTCCAGCGGGAGTTTGACGACTTCCTGCGGAGACAGGAAGCTGTGTTAGTAAAACATCATGTGGGTCAGAACCATCTAGAAACCAGTCTGAAAACTGCCAACCCGACAGGTTCTGGACCTGTTGTCTGTAAACACAGGTTCTGACAGAAACCATGAGGTCACAGCAGAAACAGGAAGCGAAGCTGGACTCAACCCGGTTTACGTCAACACGACTGTTTTTATAAAAGTTCTGATGGAACTGAGCTGTAGGCTGACTCAGGTCCACTTCATGAGGACAGGTGTCCTATCAGCTGTGTCTCACCCCACTGTGGACGAACTTGTCCCCCAGCAGGCTGCTCATCACGTTGGAGCTGAAGTCCACGATGTTCTGGATCTGCCTGAAGGCCTGCTCCACCGTCTAAACAACAAGAGGAGACGTGTCATCAGAGGGGGACGTCTCTGTCCTCCAGGACCCAACAGAGGAGGACGTCTCTGTCCTCCAGGACCCAACAGAGGAGGACGTCTCTGTCCTCCAGGACCCAACAGAGGGGGACGTCTCTGTCCTCCAGGACCCAACAGAGGGGGACGTCTCTGTCCTCCAGGACCCAAAAGGGACTCAGACAGACCGTGAGCTGAAGGACAGGACGTCCACATGTTTTTATGTAAATAAAGGAGGTGAAGTTCAGGACGGAACCAGGAGAAGAGAAATAAAATTATTAATATTCAGAAGTCAGAGCAGAGTTGTAAAGTAACTAAGTACAAATACTTTGTTACTGTACTTAAGTAGAATTTTTTGGTTATCTGTACTTTACTTGAGTAATTATTTTTCAGCGTACTTTTTACTTTTACTCATTACATTTTTACACAATTATCTGTACTTTCTACTCACTACATTTTTAAAAAATGTAAGGAGAAAAAGTCGTTACTCCTGTTTTATTCTGAGTTATTACTTTATAAAATAAACGGTGTCTCCTATAGAGTGAATTTAATTGTGTTTGGATGAGAAGTATAAATATATACCATTCTGACACACTATTAGCTTGTACACAACCCATCACAGCTGCAC